CCACGTCATATTGGAATTCAATATAATGCAAACACAAGCACTAGAATAAAATCCAACTAGTGTCTTAAACTTTAAAAGAGCTGATTTTAACAAACTCAGAAATCTCTAAAGAAAAATTCCATGGATAAAAATCCTAAGGGGGAAACTCTGAAAAATATTGTCGTAAGAGCACAATACCACTGAAAAAGAAAAGCAGGAAATCCAAGAAGAAACCACCATGTTGCATAAAGATCTTTCTGATAAACTGAAAGACAAAAAGGACAAATACCAAAAATGGAGAGAGCGACACCTAACTGAGGCAGAATATCAGCAAATAGGCCAAATCTGCAAAGATGAAGTCAGGAAAGCAAAGGCTCAGAATGAACAAAGATTTGCAACAACAGGGTTAATAAAAAATGTGATTCAACAGGAACTTCTCCAGCTGGACAAATGTGGGGGATGTGAACTTTGAAGAGCTTCACATGAACCCTGTCTGACAAACCAACTCCGGGGATCCTTTTTTGGATCAGAACCTCCCTAGAAGGGGGGGGGAGAATGGCAACGTCTCATCAGACCCAGAGGGAAGCAACAGTCCCTCGCAGGTCAGAGATTTGCCTATGAATCGGAATTGGGGAGGCAGCCTTCAACATGACTGACAAGATGCTCACTTTTTTGTCAAAGCGAATGGAACAGGAGGGGAGTGGAAGAGATAAAAGACAGGGTAAGAAAATTTATCTAACCCACAACTATAAATTAAACCTGGAAAAGGCAAAGAAATCTTGAGAACATAAATAAGATCCAAACTTTCTTTTTCCAAAAGAAAAGAAAGAAAGGAAGGTAGAGGGTTGTAACACCAGCCCTCCTAGAAGTTCCTTGTTTGAAACGCTTTCAGATAGAAGAATAGAAAGCAGAGAAGTGACAAACCCATTCAATCATAAATTTCAAATTTGGTTTTGAAATTTGAAATAGAAACCAATATCCCGAAAAGTTTACTTTTACTTTGTTTGAATTCCTTCCAGAAAAAAGCTAGTCTTTTTACTGATAAAGGATAACTTAACCTTGACTGTGCGGGAAATTTTAGTTAACTAACTCCCATAAATCAGAATTCGGGAAAGCAGGAGGCAAAGAAAAACTTTTGGCTGATTACAAGCTTCTTACAAGTGATTTATTTTGAGCAGTTATTAAAGGAAAGAATAAATATCAGACTCAAACCTGGGAAATACAAAGGTTTTTTCCCCCCCTCTTTCTTCTTTTTATTCTACAAAAGATTAAGATGATTTCAGCTTCTCTTCTGGTTTCAAGTAGTTGGATTAATTAAACTTAAGGTGAACCAGAATTTTGAAATAAGATTTGTATAACTAACTGCAATCTTGGAACTGGACATTAAGGAAGAACAAAAGACTAAGATGGCTCCCATTGCTCTTCCCCACAGCAGTTTAAGTACATAAATTTAAAGTGGATTAGAACTCTGAAACAAGAATTGTACAACTAACTATAACTTTGGAACTGGACATCATGGAAAACTGGGAATTAGAAGAACTATGTGAAATTATGAAAAATATGCATAAATCATTAAAATCAAGTCTAAATAGAATTCTGAACCCAGGGAAGCAGAGATCTAAAGAAGAATTTAAAGAAGAAGAAGAAGGGGGGGCAATACAACGAAGGGGAAAAATGGAGAGAAATAAAAAGCAGACAAAAAACGTCATCAGTCTTGGCCGTGGTATAGGGAAAACTGTAAAAACTGCAAAAAGAGGAGGTGTCCCAACAGAAGGGAATAAAAAGCAGAAAAAAAGTGGTTTTGGAGGTTCTTAGTGCCATAAGGAAAATTGAAGTAGGAGGCTATGCCCCAACAAAGAGAAATATAAAATACTCTTGTGAGGGTGGCTGGGGGAAAATTGATGTGAGTGGAGGTGTTAAAACAAAGAAAAGGGAGAAGACAGGAACAGAGAAGTGGGACAAAAGACTAGGAAAAATCAGGTATCTAGATATGCAAAAATCTAAAGCAAGATAAGGGTTTTATTCCTAAACATGACAATAAAATGGAGGTGCTAACTAGTTGAACATAATAATGAAAAGATAATTTAAAAAGGCAAAAATATATGGAATATGGATAAATATGAAACTGATATGGGGTGGTGGTAAAACAGAGGTTTGTGTTTCACTTTTATATGTTTAAACTAAACATGGGTGAAAATATATGAAACATGTATATATATATATATGTGTGTGTGTGTGTGTGTGTGTGTGTGTGTGTGTGTGTGATGAATAAAGTGAGATGATTACTGCTTGTTACTTTACATAATAGATTAAGGAAATTTAAGGATAATTTAACCCAAGATATGGAAAAATGGAAAGAGAATATGGAATATATCTATAATGGAAAACTATTGAGATTTAAAGACAGAATCACAAATTGGGGGCGTGTGAGGATGTATAATTATATAATGATGAGAATATCTGCCAATTGTAACCAGATCTACATCTCATCCAAAATTGGGCTGGGGGGGGGGGGATTAAAAGTACAATGACTATATATGTATACTTTTTTGTCCTGTTTTTTTCTTTTAAGAAAGGAGGAGAATATATGTTAAAATTAAATATGTATATTGAAAAAGAACTATAAATACCATCAACATAAAATGCAGCTTGCTCAGAAGCTGAAATACACCAAGTAAATGAGATGAAGAGTAAGAAGAAAAGGAGAGAAGTAAGGGAAGAAGAGAGGAATAGAAGACAGGGCAAGGAGGGGGGAAGAGGAGGAGAGAAATGAGGCATGGGAAGGGGGGAGTGAAGAAGGAGAGAGGGAGAAGAAAGTGATGGATAAGGACAAATATGGTGTATGGAGAGCAGAAGAGCCAATAATTGTGTTTTCTGAGTTGATGGTAAGGTGAATTGATGTAAATATTTAATAATACAAAATGATGCTGGATATGTAATACTATACATATGATTATATATTATGAAAATGAAAAAATAAAAAATTTAACCCCCTACCAAAAAGTTAATAAAAATGTTTCTTTCAACATATAAATTAAAAAAGTCCAGGTAACTGTTGAACCACTAAAGAGAGAAGATGGCAAGGGAGTAGCAGGCAGTAGAGAGAAGGCAGAGCTACTTAACTCATTCTTTGCATCAGTCTTCACACAAAAAGAAATACCCAACCTATCAAAACATAACCGTAAAAGAAAAAACAAGAAATAAAAATTAAAATAAGCAAGAAAATGGTAAAAGAACACCTGTCGGACGATGAATATAAAAGTCACTGGGACCTGATGGATTACATCCCAGAGTTCTGAAGAGCTGATTTGGTCCCCATCTTAAAAAAAATGAGGGGGCGGGGGGACAGACCTAAGAAACTACAGACCAATCACCCAAACATCTGGGAAGGTACTGGGAGGGGGGGGACAGATCTGTGAACATCTAGAAACAAATAACAAATGAAGTTATAACTAGAAGCCACATGGGTTTGTTAAAAACAGATCATGCCAAACCAATTTCCTTTCATTCTTAGACGAAGTGACTAAAGTAATAGACCAGCAAAATGCTGTGGGCATAGTTTATTTAGACTTCAGAAATGCATTTGACAAAGTAGACCACAACCTACTTCTTGACAAGCTAGAAAAATATGGGATGGACAGCATCACTACCAGATGACAAACCATACTCAAGAAGTAGTCCTTAATGGTATTATACCTACATGGAGGGAAGTAAACAGTGGGGTACTAAAAGGTTCTGTCTTAGGACCAATATTCTTCAATATCTTCATAAATGATGATTTATAGCCGAGGCAATAGAAAAGGAAGTCAAATTTGCAGATGACACTAAGTTGGCAAGAATAGTCAACACCTCAGAAGACAAGCTCAGGATCCAAAAGATTTGAACAATAGGCTCTATCCAACAAAATGAAATTTAATGTGGAGAAAAGTGAGGTTTTAAAACTGGGCAGGAAAATCAAGTACAGATTAAGCGAAACCTGACTCAAACACAGTAACTGTGAACATCTACTTTGAAGTCCTAGTAGATGATCACTTAAACATGAGTCAACAGTGTGCAGCAGCCGCCAAAAAAGTTAATACAATCCTTGGTTGTATAAACAGAGGCATAGAATCAAAATAATGTGAAGTATTAGTACCTCTTTATAAAGCCTTTGTAAGACCACACCAGGAATATTGCATCCAGATTTGGTCGCCACATTACAAAAAAGTTGTTGAGACTTTGGAAAAAGTACAAAGAGAAAACTAAGATAATTAAAGGACTGGAGACTAAAACATATGAAGAATAATTGCAGGATTTTGGTTTGCTAGACTAGAGAAAAGAAGGACCAGGGGGACATGAAACAATCAATTTATTTTTCCAAAGCACCAGAGGGCAGGGCAAAAAACAATGAATAGAAACTAATCAAGGAGAAAAGCAACCTGGAATTAAGGAGAAACTTTCTAACAGTGAGGACAAATAACCAGTAGAACACCTGTTTAGCTGCTGCAATAAAATTGCACAGACAGCATGACAAAGTAGCAACAGTGATGCATTGGAAGAAACACCATTGTAAGTCTGGTGTGCCCGCAGAGAAGGCTCTGCATGCCACCTGTGGCATGTGTGCCATAGGTTCGCCATCATGGAATATGCATTGACGAATTCACAATCAGTCACTTGCAGAAGTCAGCTTTACATGGAAGAGCTTATATCCTGTGACACAATCAGTAATATCATCAAACATACGCAGCTGCCTATCCCAAGTCCTTGGGAAGGAGTAAATAGGCAAAAATGACAAATCCAATCTGAACATCTGGCTGACTATGCAACAAACCATAACATTGCTACAACAATACGTATAACATCATTAAAACATTGACATCTGCCTATCCCAGGTCCTTGAGAAGAACTTGATGGCCAAATGCCAAATCCAGTCTGAACATTTGGTGACTGTGCAATGAACCCTAAAAATATTCTTAAAATATACAAGATTTCATTTCATGTGTTAGTTGAGTTTACTCAGGAAAACAGAAAAGGCTTGTTACCTTATACGCAGTATCCTAATAAGAGTGCTGGTTAACTTTACAGACAGTTTTCCCATAATGCAACAGCGGCTGAGAGCAGCAAGGAGATCGTTTGGTAAATGAGGCACAAAGTAAAGTAGCTGGACTAAATGTTGCTGGGATTCAGGTGGCAGAAGAACCATTGCGCCATCTAGTGGATCTATGAAATTCAAGAAATTAAGTGTTACCTGCAGATATCAGATTATGATGTTTGATATCATATTAGATTATGTTATAATAAAATATAAACTAAGAATCAAGCATTTTGGATAAGCAGATTAAAGTCCTCTGTTAAAGACAAAGTACACTGCAACTGAACTGAAAAAAATTTACATCAGTTTTTCAAAAACAATTAGAAAAAGCCTTGAATTAACACACAATCTCGTCCTAGAACTTTATAACATGAAAACATATGGTATACTTTCAGTGAATAAGGTTATATCATTTTTTCCTAAGGGAATATAACCTCAATGAAGAGTTTTAATCAGATTAACATTTTGCTTTAAACTGGTGGAAGTCCCATATCTATTAATATCATGCTTCAGGAAGATTATGGGTATGAATTATTCTAATTAACAGCACGCAACAAATCAAAAATTAAGCAGAGGTTAAACAAGTTGACTATGTAATAGGATCAGAATTCAAGGTAAGCTCCAGGAAAGTAAAAGGCAAATATCAAATATTCAATTACACAAAATGAAAACAGAGAGGAGGCTGAATCCAAGTGTGGTACGCACTTGTCTTTTCAGTGATAAATGAGGGTACATGGTATCACCAAAATACGTAGAAACTAACTCCCTCATATATAGGGCAGAACTACTTCATAAACCTGTTACCTAGATGAACACTAAGTTCATATCTGAGAGCTTTAATTCTCCTAGTACCCTTGAGTTGTATAAGTAAGGGGTTCTGTCTGAATGGACATCTGTACCACAAATTATACCTTCGGACAGTACTATCTCTTGGGTTGAAGTCAAGATTTTGTGAAGACAACTGCTGTCTGTGAGATGAGTCTGAAAGAACTTTATTTCATGGTGACTAATACAGGGGAAGAATGATAGAGCAAATCTAAGCAATGAACTGTAATTTAATAAAAATAGAGTGCTTTTAAACTCTTGCTTTTCTTGTCTTTAGTATTTTTTATAAATAACTGAAGTCAGCAAATATATCTAATACTCCTCATTTTCTCCAAAACAACCCTGTGAGCTAAGTTGCGATGAAAAAGAGTTAGTCGCCAAAATCACCTAATTGGTTTTCATGACTAAGGCAGACTTATAACTCTCACTTTCCTGGTTTCTAGACTGGTGCCTTAACAACTAGATCAAACTGCACTACAACTGATATGCTAAGGATACAATATTGCATATTGTGAATGCAGAGAGATTTCAGTTGGGTGAAAAGTTAGTGTTTAAAAAATGGAAAACAGAAGACTGGGAGAAAATAGATATAGTTCTCACTTAACAACAATTCATTCAGTGACAACTGGGCCTCATTGAGATCATGGTCCAGTCACGTGGCAACCAGTTTGTAATTACATCACAGAATCTGTGGTGACGGGATCACTATTTATGACTTGCCAACTTCCCACAAACAAAGTCAATGGGGAAGCCAGCGGGTCACAAGTAGTGATCACCTGATGTTTGCACTTAACAATGCCACAGGATTCCTTTAACAGCAACTAAAAGTGCTGTCATGCTTTATGATCATGCTATTTAGCCATGGAAATTCCAGTTTCAATCACCAATTTAAAAGGATTTTAAACAAAGAGCTGCAGTGGCGCAGTGGTTAGAATGCAGTACTGCAGGCTACATCTGCTGATTGCCGGCTGCCTGCAATTTGGCAGATCGAATCTCACCAAGCTCAGGGTTGACTCAGCCTTCCATCCTTCTGAGGTGGGTAAAATGAAGGCGCAGATTGTTCAGGGCAATATGCTGACTCTGTAAATCGCTTAGAGAGGGCTGTAAAAGCACTATGAAATGGTATATAAGTCTAAGTGCTATTGCTATTACCTGTAGTAACAAATGATAGGGAAAAGGCGAAGCTCTTTGACTTCCACTTCATATGAAATAGTTGTCATATAATATCTAACAAAAAAACTAGGGAGTAGTTGATCAAGTCAATTAAAACCAAGAGTCTTATACAGGTCATTTCAGAGCTTCATTCATTAAAAATAATTGAAAATAGTGTCAAAAACCTGGAAAAAGGGAAATATTTTCCCTATCTTCAAAACAGATAAACAAACAGGACCCAGATAACTATAGACTTGTTTATGTCAATATAAAGCAAAGCAGTGCTTTTTATTACCTTGTAATAACCATTGTTTAAACTGTCAAAATAAAGATAAAGATATGTATTCTATTGTACCTTGTAGCAACCACTAGTATACTAGGCATTGACACAAGCTGTTAAAGGACAACAATTTGTTCCCTTCTTTTTCTGCTACCTTGATGGGCATAATATATTTAACCTGGCATACCCAGTTGCTCCAATAAGCCATTGTGCTCTTCAAATTATAAGTGTTAAAAGAGAAAAAACAAAAATGCAAGAGGCAACCCTCTACAAAGATAGTTGAGAGTTTCTGGCTAGGATAACAGTGGAAGTAGTCAATTATTGTAAGTTATCAAAACACTATTAATATAGTGTTAAACTAATCTTACAAGAATGTAGTCAGATTACAATTTTTATCAAAAAAAATCCTGAGTCTATTGTTATGCTTTCAAATAACAGCTCCAAATGGAAAAAGCAAGTTGAACCCAATACTTCTTACAGAATAAATCCTTTCTAACTTGTTTCAATTTTCAAAGTGTTTTTCTTGATGCAGTTTAGAGATTGTAACCAGTATAGCTCTTGAATATTAAAATAATAATTACCATATATCATAGGAGCAGCAGCCTGTAAACTCTGTAGAATTTCTTTGTTCGCCCGAGATGCAGCAGAATAAATAATACCAATCAATTGCTCTGAAAGTTCAGGATTTTTTAAGCCAAGAAGAACAAGCTGTTGAGGCAGACCAGCCAGCCAGCAAGTTAATACTTTACTTTGGCTTCTGCAATGCACAAGAAAAAAACAATAACAAGTAAGTAACTTCATAGTTATAATACAACCACGTGCACATTACCCAAATTTGAATATATTTTTGAGGCCCAGAAAATAGGCTCTTAATTTACAACATTTTCATGGATGAATTTCAGAGACATTATATTAATTTGATGAATGGGATTAAAAAGTTTCAGACAATATATAAGTATATTGTGGGTTTATCACTGCATGCTTCCACATTAGCCTTTTAAAGAACAAGGCATTTACAAAGTTACATCAAATTGGCTGCAAAATGTATCGGAAATTTCAACAAAAAACCAATAAAAATGATTTTCTCTGTTATATGACACAGTGTTGAAAGTAATATGTATTATTACCTATTTATATGTAGGTTCATCTCTTCCTTTTGATAAACTCTGGCAAAAAAATTCAAAAGTAATGTACGTACAGGAAAAGGAAGATTCCTTTGCTGATAAAATGTGTAGACTGCTTTCATCAAAGTTTCTGTTGCTGCTAAATAAGAGGATAAAGATAAAAATCAGTAATGATACTGTACTTTCTTTATATTTAGCAGGAAAAAAATCTACATTAGATATTAGAATCTAATGCCTTATAATTCTTAGCACAAGAAGCACAATAATAGCAAGAAAAAGCAGGTAATCATAGTTAACCTATCAAGAGTTGTTAGAACAATAGCATGGACAATGTAATATGAAATCAAGAGAAATTAAGGTTGCAGATGGATTTTCAATGGTATACCCAGTTGAGAGAAAGATTCAATATAAAAACAAGACATTTGATACTGAGCAACAGAAGAGATAATGTAAAATTGAATTATGTACAAAAATGAACATGTAACTTGCCAAAATGCATCTTGTTGGAATTTAAAATAAGTAAATACATGAAAAAGTCTACTGTTAAATGGGATATGCATTTCTGACATAACTATTGTTGGGACAATGGGAAATTACATGGTTGAAAAGATTGGTATATGACTTCAGAAAATTATCTAAAATATATAATAGTACATTATACATGTTGAAAATGTGCACAACAAAAAGAGTCATTTTATCATGGCTGATGGACTTAAAATAAGCTGGAAAATTATGGGTTCAAATATGTATTATGGTGCAAAAAAATTCAAAAATTAAAAATCAATTGAAAGAATTAAATTTGTTACAATTACTGCACAACTAAAAAAGCCATGAAATTTTTTTATACATGCTGAAAGTCAATTATATGTGCAAAAATGGAAATATTATGAAACACTCATTAACAGTAGAATGCTTGGTGAAAATGACAGAACTAGCAAAGATGACAAAATTAACTTGTTTGCTTAGACAAAGATAAACTATTACATTTATTAGTAACTGGAAATCCCTTTTGGACTTTTTGCTGAAAGAACAAACAGATGGTTTATGAAAAGGATGATTAGAAAGGATAGATTACCATAAGGATAGTTTGATATAAACTTTAGACAAAGAAGGTAAAATACAAATTTACTTATAACTGTTGTTAAAAACAGAAACCTTTTTCTTTTTCACATTTCTATTAATTTCTCTATCATTTTTTTAAGTTAAAATTTATATTGTCCCAAATGTGTATTTTCCAAAAGACAACTGGACTTTCTTTCTTAGGTTTTTTTTTTCCTTTAAAAATTTTGGTTTCTCATCCAAGAAAACCATATTAAGGAAGACAAAGGCCTCAACAATGAAGTTTACAGAAAATTCACACAAAGATCAGTATTTAGATTTTGATTTTCACACTGGAGCACAAAATGGAAATGATCATAATCCTACACCACTGGGCTGAAAGTTTGCCTTCCAATAAAGAGGAATAAGAAAAAGAACTAAAACAGATCAATGAATCCCTCAGAACTTTTAATTATCCTAACTGGGTCTTTATCAAATTGAGAAAAACCAGGAGCATCTCCATTTCAGAGAAAGAAGAGAATAAACCTAGCAACATTGTAATTCAATATGTTGCAGGAATATTTGAAAAGCTCAAGTGAATTTTCAACCAACACAATATACATGTAAAATTTAAATCTAAGAATACACTAAGATACACGCTTGTCCATCCCAAGGATAAAACACCAGACATAAACTGAGCAATGTGACATATGCCATTCAATGCACTGAGACATGGGCAGATCTGTACCTGTCTCCTATCCATTACTTCTTGTCCTTCTCTAAGGGTGCTATGGGGAGTAAATTGACACTCTTTTCTGCCATAGTCCTTCAAATATTGGAAGACTGCTTTCATGTCTCCCTAAGTTTTCTCTTCTTTGGGCTAGACATACCTACTTCCCTTAGCCATTTATCATACAATTTAGCCTACAGATCCCTTATAATCTTTATTGCTCTTCTCTGCACTGTTTCTAAGGCCTCAACAAACAAACAAACAAACAAACATACATACATACATACATACATACATACATACATACATACATACATACATACATTATTGTGATGACCATAATTGGAAGCAGTATTCCAAGTGTGGTCTCACCAGGGCAGTGTAAGGCTTTACTATCACTTCTTGCTGTTTTGATTTGATCTCTATTGATGCAATTGCAACTATATCGGCTATTTTGGCAACTGCAGAACATTGCTGGCTCATAACTAAGTTGTGATCCACTAAGACATCTAAATCTCTTTCACAATTGCTATGTTGAACCAGGAACTGCCTATTCTATACCTGTGAATTTGGTTTTTCATGATTAAGTGAGGACTTTACCTTTAATCAATCAATTTCAGTAATTTCAGTTCTGAACCTGCTGGAATTTTGGCAATCTAAGCAGGCATGGAGCTGAAATCCTTTGACAGGAAGCTCTTTCAACCAGCCCTCAGAGACAAAACCTAAGTAGAATTTTCATTCTGTAAGTTGAGAAAGAGCATAGTAAGGTAAGGAGTGCAGGACCTCAGAGTGCAGAGAGGAGGTCCTGGGAAGCCAGGTGCAAGCCACACATGAGTTTGTTGGGACTTGGAGGAAGGGAGAGGGACGGAGCAGCTCTCCCTTTCCTCCCCGCACCATTGACTATTTTAAACTACACTTGCACAGTGCTCCACAAATTTAGGAATGTGGTGTGAATGGTATGCCTGGCTGATGTCTGTACCCACTTTTTAACTTCATTATTGCTGTATTTTTTGTGTTTTAATTGACTTACGTGGGGAATGCATGGATGAGTAGCTGTGTATGTATGAGAGGATTGAGAGTACAGCCTGGTGCCCCCTCCACTGAGTGCTATTGCAGAAGTGGTAGGGGGCCCAGGCTACCTCCCGTCCCGGAATGTGTGACATAAATCGCCTGCTGGATGGAGCGGAGGCTGCGGGAGGGGATATGGGTCTACGGGTGCGGGGATGGGCTGGAGCATTACGGTCACTATGGGGAAGAGGCAGGTACGACGGGAACTTCAGGGCTAGCCATTACCGGGGAAGGAGGGTTCACTACGTCACAGAGATCCCTCCTTCTGGCCCTGCTAGTTCCACTCCAGGGCCAGATGGCGAGAACTGTCAGGGCCCTGGTCTCAGGCTGTTGTTGCTAAATGCCATGTCTGTGGTCCACAAAGCTCCCCTCGTCCGGGACCTAATTTTAGACGAGGGGGCAGACCTGGCATGTATTACTGAAACCTGGCTGGGCCCAGAGGGAGGAGTCCCCCTCACTGAAATGTGCCCAGAAGGATTTCAGGTGCTTCATCAGCCTCGACCCCAGGGAAGGGGTGGGGGAGTGGCGGTCATCGTCCGAAGGTCTTTAGTTCCTTGTAGGATCCTTGCTCCGGAGCTTGTCGGGTGTGAGTCCCTGCTGATGAAGTTGGACCTTGGAGGTCAAGTGGGTTTGTTGCTAACGTACCTACCTCCCAACAGCGTTGCAACAGCCCTCCCCTCGCTCCTCGAGTCAGTAGCCGAGTTGGCGGTAGAGTTCCCCAGGCTTATGGTTCTGGGGGATTTCAACCTGCCTACACTTGGTGAACACTCTGACAGGGCACATGAGTTCATGGCTTCCATGACAGCCATGGACTTGACCCAAGTAATTCGGGGTTTGACTCATTCAGCGGGTCACACGCTTGACCTCATATTCCTCTCAGAGCAGTGGAGACGTGATCTAGAGTTGAAGGGCATTAAGACCTTGCCCTTGTCATGTCTGATCACTTCCTACTGAGGCTTGACTTTCGGAAACCAATCCCCCACTGTAGGGAGGGGGAACCGATTAGGTGGTTCCGCCCCAGGCGCCCGATGGACCCTACGGGATTTCAGACGGCGCTTGGAGAAATATCTGACACTCTCGTCCACAATCCGGTGGAGTCCTTAGTCACTGCCTGGAATACAGCGGCGGCGAGGGCTCTAAACTGGATTGCGCCTTTGCGAACTCTCCGAGGGCCCCTTGGTTCACCGAGGAACTCCGGGAGATGAAGCGCCAAAAGAGATGCCTAGAGCGCCGCTGGAGGGCCAGTAAATCTGAGTCAGACCGAGCACTGATGAGAGCCTTTATCAGAGCCTATCTCGTGGCAATACGGGCGGCGAAATGTTTGCATTTTGCTGCCCTTATTGCATCCGCTGAATCGCGCCCAGCCGCCTTGTTTAGAATAACCCGCTCCCTCTTGAAAGGGAGGGATGCGGATGACCCTTTACAATGTAGAGCTGAGGAATTTATTCAGTATTTAACGGATAAAGTCGCTCGGATTTGGACAGAGCTGGACTCCAATTGCACGGTACCAGCCGAGGTACCGGGGGAAGGTCTTGAGCATATTTCATGGATTGAGTTTCAACTTGTCTCTCCTGAGGAAGTGGACAAGGCCATGGGAGCGGTGAGTGCCTCCACCTGTAAACTGGACCCATACCCCTCCTGGCTGGTCTCGACCAGCAGGGAGGTGACACGTGGCTGGATCTGCACGATAGTTAACACCTCTCTCTGGGAGGGAATTTTCCCGCTCCTCCTAAAGGATGCGGTGGTGAGACCCCTCCTGAAGAAACCATCTCTGGACCCAGCCATTTTGAGCAACTATCGTCCAGTCTCCAACCTGCCCTTTGTTGGGAAGGTTGTTGAGAAAGTGGTGGCCTCTCAACTCCGACGGTCCTTGGATGAAACCGATTATCTGGATCCCTTTCAGTCAGGTTTCAGGTCTGGTTACAGCACGGAAACTGCTTTGGTCACGCTGATCGATGATCTCTGGCGAGCCAGGGATAGGGGTCACCTCTCTATCCTTGTGCTCCTTGACCTCTCAGCAGCCTTCAATACCATCGACCATGGTATCCATGGTATGTTGGTCGGAGGGCAAAGGTCGACCCCTAGGCCCCTCAATTATGGGGTGCCGCAGGGTTTGGTCCTGTCCCCCCTCCTATTTAACATCTACATGAAGCCGCTGGGTGAGATCATACGCCGGCACGGGATTAAGTACCACCAATATGCGGACGATACACAGTTGTATCTGTCCGCCCTGTGCCAACTCAGCGAAGCAGTAGAAGTGATGTGCCTGGAGGCTGTTAGGGTCTGGATGGGAGCAAACAAGT